TTTTTTCTTCACCTTCACACTTCTCTTTCTTAACGAATGAGGTGCGTGACGCGATGGCCTGCCCGACGTATGCTCTATAAGCCCCAGACTTCAAACAAAATTATTATGAATGTATCGATTTTCATAATAAACCACACTTGTCATTACTTGTGTTATCTTTATTCGTTGTTTACAAAAAAAATACAAATGGACGTTATTGTGAACTCGCGAATAAAAACCTAATATGCACAGGACGTATTCTAACAACAAGCATCGAAAATTATAATGTCTCGCAATCACTAGAGATGGAACAGAACTTTGACCAAACGCCCGCTGTTACCACGGGGAGAGCGCAACGGCAGTCCTATTGATCAGATAACCAGCGCGTTCACACTTAAGGGTTGAACTTCGGGACTGAGACGTTTTCCTTTAAACTTTCGTCTTCTCCATTCCCTTGTTAGATCCGTAAAACTACATCCTTTCCACGCCCATACTCTCAAGGATGGAATTCGCTAGAGCTCACTCACGACCTCGTCTATATCGCTAACTCCCGAGAGTGATTTCTCGCATAAAAAGGCAAGATTGAAGGTAATGTTCCCGATCGCGCCGCCGAAGGTGTCGCTCCTGGACGCGGCGAAGTAAACAAAAGTGACACCAATCGAAGAAACTGTGTCATCCATCGCATAGTTGTCATGTCATGGAAACTTTCCCTCATCTCTTTCGTAAGTTAAGGATATAAACTACAACAACAAAAACGATAGGCAATATATTGCAGCAAACATATCACTATTGCCAACACAACATACGGCTCAAAATACAAAGAAATGTATTGTTGCAGCCAAGAAACCGAGAATCAATTTACTCGTATCTCACTGTAATAAATTCTAAATATAAGTTCTAAATATACTCCTAGTGTAGTACAATATTTCTGCGACATAACCCCCCCCCCCACGTTGTCCACATCAAAGCAGCTTAAAAAACGTCTCTCCGGAATAAAAAACATGAACCCCAGAAAAAGATCTGAACGAGCATGCGGGCCCGTGATGGCGGCGTAATGCACAAGACATGGAACTAACCTCCGCCATAAAAAGTGTAACCTATTAATTGCACCGAACGGGAATGAATCAGTAAGGGAGGTCGGTTAATGAAATAACTCCTCGCGTCGATCAGCTTAGTTACATTATTAATTCTGATTACTAGGTTTTGAAATGAGTAATTTTGAATTAGTTATCCTCTTACGCCGAGGGCATGGAGAGAGAAATTTGAAAAAAATAAGAAATGTGATTCTGAAACTGTATGATTATGATTTTTTTTCTCTAAAATTTCTATGTCTCACAAACGAAGCAGTTGGACAGAAAGAGAGAGAGAGAGAGAGAGAGAGAGAGAGAGAGAGAGAGAGAGAGAGAGAGAGAGAGAGAGAGAGAGAGATAGAGAGAGAGAGAGAGAGAGACAGACAGAGACAGAGACAGACAGACAGACAGAGAGAGAGGAAAGAAAGAGCGCAGAAGAAAAGAAAAAAATGAGACTTATATTTCGCCCTAAAATACTTCATTCCATAAATCAACCATAAGGCCGTCGAATAATTTTAGGGCGTATAATCACTGACCAATTTCGGGCGGTATGTCAGAGAAAAAATATTGGAACGCCGCGCAAGATTCGCTTACGTATCCAGTCTGGAAATAGACGAACGCGACACGTCAGAGAGAGAGAGAGAGAGAGAGAGAGAGAGAGAGAGAGAGAGAGAGAGAGAGAGAGAGAGAGAGAGAGAGAGTGAGAGAGAGACAGAGAGAGAGAGAGAGAGAGAGAGAGAGAGAGAGAGAGAGAGAGAGAGAGAGTGAGAGAGAGACAGAGAGAGAGAGAGAGAGAGAGTGAGAGAGAGAGAGAGAGAGAGAGAGAGAGAGAGAGAGAGAGAGAGAGAGAGAGAGAGGGAGGGAGGGAGGGAGAGAGACAGACAGAGAGAGAGAGAGAGACAGAGAGAGAGAAAGGGGAGAGAAAAAAAGAGAGAAAGAGAGAGAGAGAGAGAGAGAGAGAGAGAGAGAGAGACAGACAGACAGACAGACAGACAGACAGACAGAGAGAGACAGAGAGAGAGAAAGAGAGAAAGGAGAGAGAAAGAAAGAGAGAAAGAGAGAGAGAGAGAGAGTATGAGAGACGGACAGAGAGAGAGAGAGACACAGAGAGAGAAAGAGAGAAAGGAGAGAGAAAGAAAGAGAGAAAGAGAGAGAGAGAGAGAGAGAGAGAGAGAGAGAGAGAGAGAGAGAGAGAGAGAAAGAGAGGCAGAGAGAGAGAAAGAGAGGAAGGGGAGCGAAAGAAAGAGAGAAAGAGAGAGAGAGAGAGAGAGAGAGTATGAGAGACAGACAGAGAGAGAGAAAGAGAGAAAGGGGAGAGAAAGAAAGAGAGAGAGAGAGAGAGAGAGAGAGAGAGAGAGAGAGAGAGAGGGAGAGAGAGAGAGAGAGAGAGAGAGAGAGAGAGAGAGAGAGAGAGAGAGAGAGAGACAGAGAGAGAGAAAGAGAGAAAGGGGAGAGAAAGAAAGAGAGAAAGAGAGAGAGAGAGAGAGAGAGAGAGAGAGAGAGAGAGAGAGAGAGAGAGAGTGAGATAGAAGAGAGAGAGTCCCCAGAATTAATGATTTATCGTACTTAGTTATTCACTCCAGTGTGATGTACTTATTATCCGTGTTAATTTTTTTTCCTTCAATCACTTCACTTTCTCCTCTGTCTGCTTCCCCCCCCCCTCTCTCTCTCTCTCTCTCTCTCTCTCTCTCTCTCTCTCTCTCTCTCTCTCTCTCTCTCTCTCTCTCTCTCTCTCTTCTTCTTCTTCTCCTCTCTTTATTCCATTACAACTTAGACATTGTTCATCATTACTCCCACCCCCACCCCCACCCCTCCAGGTGATTCTAGCTTCAAAGGATTTTTAGGA